AAGACTCATGGCGGCTGTCTGTCTTCGTCAAGAAGGGATGTTGATGTGGGCGTGGGATACTGAGAGGGCACAGGTTGCCCAGGGCACAGGGACAACCCTGCATCCCCCAGGCCTGTGCACAGGTAGCTGTCATTTTAACTTGAGGGTGTAGGAATGGGGTCCAGGTTGTTTCTAAGGCCCGTGACCTCGGTGAGCTGACGGGTTGGGTCAGGAGTGTTCCTCGGACTTGACGGGGCTGGCCCACCTCCACCTGTGCACTTAGGTCAAGAGCCCAGATTGCTGTGGCCACGGTGGGGGGGGGGGGAGCAGGACCCCTGTAAGAAACCTCCCCAGGGTGGCTCGTATCAGAGCACCCTTAGGCCCGTGTTGGTGTGTATGTGTTTTAATGTATTTAGGAACAGTCCCTTCTCGATCCAGAAGTGGGCAGAAAATCATAGGAAAAGGGGATTTGTCCGGAGCCGCGGCTCACTAGGCTAATCCTCCGCCTTGCGGCGCTGGCACACCGGGTTCTAGTCCCGGTCGGGGCGCCGGATTCTGTCCCGGTTGCCCCTCTTCCAGGCCAGCTCTCTGCTGTGGCCCGGGAGTGCAGTGGAGGATGGCCCAAGTGCTTGGGCCCTGCACCCCATGGGAGACCAGGAGAAGCACCTGGCTCCTGCCTTCGGATCAGCGCACCAGCCGCAGCAGCCATTGGAGGGTGAACCAACGGCAAAAGAAGACCTTTCTCTTTCTCTGTCTCTCTCACTGTCCACTCTGCCTGTCAAAAAAAAAAAAAAAAAAAAAAAAAAAAAAAGAAGAAGAAAAGGGGATTTTCACTTGGTTTTCCTGAGCAGGACTCCCTGAAAGGACCCCTTCCAGGAACACCACATAGGTGGTGATATGTGTGTGTGTGTGTGTGTGTGTGGTATTGTGAGTGTAGGTGTGGTATGTGTGTATGTGTTGTACATGGGAGATGTGTGTGTGTTGTGTGGTGTGTGGTATTTGTGTGTGATACATGGTATGTATGTTATGGGGGGCATGGAGGGTGTGGTATTGTGTGTGGGGGTATGGAGGGTGTGTGGTATTGTGTGTGATACATGATGTGTGGTGTGTATGTGGGAGGGTGTGGTATGTGTATATGTGTTGTGCATGGGAGATGTGTGTGTGTGTTGTGTGGGGTGGGGGTTTTGAGGTGTGAGATTTGTGTGATATATGGTGTGTGTGATACATGGTGGGGGTGTGGTATTGTGTGTGTGATATATAGTGTGTGTGTGTTGTGGGAGTATGGTATTTGTGTGTGATGTGTGTGATGCGTGTGCGGGAGGGTGTGGTATGTGTGGGTAGTGTGCCATGTGGTGTGTGTGGTATTGGGGGTTGTGGTATGCGTGTATATGTTCTGCATGGGAGATGTGCACGGTGTTGGGGATGTGGGGGGTTGTAGGGTGTGATATTGTACCTGTGGGATATATGGTTGTGGGGGGGTATGTTATGTGTGGGCAGTGAGGTATGTGGCATGCATGGTATGTGGGTGGTATTGTGTATGCGGTATACATGTATGTTTATGGTGTGAAGGGGTATATGTTATGTGTTGGTATTGTGTGTGTGTGTGGTGTACACGGTGTGTGTGGGTTGTGGGTGGTGTGGGGGTGTGTGTGGTATATGTATGGTACATGTCGTATAGGTGGGAGTGGTTTGTGGTGTGGTATGTGGTGGGGGAGGTATGCAGTATGTTGGGGGTGTGTGTAGTGTGTGTGTATGTGGTGTCATGGTGTATGTAGGGAGTGGTGTGTGGTATGTGTGTGGGTGTTGTGTGTGTGCTGTGCGTGAGGAGGTATATGGTATGTTAAGGTGACACTGTGGTGTAGGGGTATGTGGTATGTTGGGGTGACTGTGGGTAGTGTGTGTGTGCTCTATGTGGGGACTGGCTTGTGGTGTGTATATAGGTGGTGTGTGTGCGGTGTGGTACCTGTGCAGTGTGTGGTGCATGTGGTGTACATGATTTGTGTGTGTGTGTGTGGTATGTGTATGGGTGTTGGGGGGGAGGTGTGTGGGGAGGTATGGCATATGTTGGGGTAACTGTGGGAGTGTATGGTGTGTATGTGGTGTACATGGTGTGTGTGTGATGTGTGTGGGGGGAGTATGTGGTATGTTGGGGTGACTGGGTGGTGTGTGGTATGTGTGTGGTGTATTTGTGGAGTAGTGTGTGGTGTGGGTGGTACCTGTGCAGTGTGTGGTGTGTGTGCTATGTGGTGTGCATGGGGTTGGGTTGTGGAGAGGTATGAGGTATGTGGGTGGTGTGTGTGGTGTATGTGGGAGTGGTGTGTTTATGGGTGGTATGTATATGGGTGGTGTGTGTATAGGTGGTGTGTGTGGTACCTGTGTGATGTGTGGTGTGTGTGGTATGTGGTGTGCATGGTGTGGGGGGGGAGGTATGTGGTATGTTGGGGTGACTGTGGGTCACCTGTGTGATGTGTGGTGGTATGCGGCAGTGGTGTGTGGTATGTGTATGGGTGGTGTGTGTGTGGTACTTGTGTGTGTGTGGTGTGTGTGGTATGTGGTGTGCATGGTGTGTGGGGGAGGTATGTGGTATGTTGGGGTGACTGTGGTGTGTGTGTGGTGTATGTGGCAGTGGTGTGTGGTATGTGTATGGGTGGTATGTGTGTAGTGTGTGGTGTGTGGTGTGTGTGGTGTACATGGTGTGTGTGTGGTGTATGTGGCAGTGGTGTGTGGTATGTGTATGGGTGGTGTGTGTATAGGTGGTGTGTGTTTTGGTATGTGTGTGTGGTGTGTGTGTACCTGTGCAGTGAGTGGTGTGTGTGGTACATGGTGTGCATGGTGAGTGGGGGGAGGTATGTGGTATGTTGGGGTGACTGTAGGTGGTGTGTGTGTGATATGCATGTGGTGTATGTGGGGTGTGGGGTGTGTGTGGTACCTGTGCAGTGTGTGGTGTGTGGTATGTGGTGTGCATGGTGTGTGTGGGGAGTATGTGGTATGATGGGGTGACTGTGGGTGGTGTGTGTGTGGTGTATGTGGGGAGTGGTGTGGTGTACATGGTGTGTGTGTGGTGTATGTGGCAGTGGTGTGTGGTATGTGTATGGGTGGTATGTGTGTAGTGTGTGGTGTGTGGTGTGTGTGGTGTACATGGTGTGTGTGTGGTGTATGTGGCAGTGGTGTGTGGTATGTGTATGGGTGGTATGTGTGTAGTGTGTGGTGTGTGGTGTGTGTGGTGTACATGGTGTGTGTGTGGTGTATGTGGCAGTGGTGTGTGGTATGTGTATAGGTGGTGTGTGTGTGTACCTGTGTAGTGTGTCATGTGTGGTATGTGGTGTGCATGGTGAGTGGGGGGAGGTATGTGGTATGTTGGGGTGACTGTGGTGTGTGTGTGGTGTATGTGGGGAGTGGTGTGTGGTGTGTGTGTGTACCTGTGCAGTGTGTGGTGTGTGTGGTATGTGGTGTGCATGGTGTGTGTGGGGAGGTATGTGTTATGTTGGGGTGACTGTGGTGTGTGTGTGGTGTATGTGGGGAGTGGTGGTGTGTGTGGGGTGTGTGTGTGGTGTGCGTGTGGTACCTGTGCGGTGTTTGGTGTGTGGGAGGAAGTATGTGGTATGTTGGGGTGACTGTGGGTCACCTGTGTGATGTGTGGTGTATGCGGCAGTGGTGTGTGGTATGTGTATGGGTGGTGTGTGTGTGGTACCTGTGCAGTGTGTGGTGTGTGTGGTATGTGGTGTGCATGGTGTGTGGGGGGAGGTATGTGTTATGTTGGGGTGACTGTGGGTCACCTGTGCAGTGTGTGGTGTATGTGGGGAGTGGTGGTGTGTGTGTGTGTGGTGTGTGTGGTACCTGTGCAGTGTGTGGTGTATGTGGGGAGTGGTGGTGTGTGTGTGTGTGGTGTGTGTGGTACCTGTGCAGTGTGTGGTGTGTGTGGTATGTGGTGTGCATGGTGTGTGGGGGGAGGTATGTGGTATGTTGGGGTGACTGTGGGTCACCTGTGCAGTGTGTGGTGTATGTGGGGAGTGGTGGTGTGTGTGTGTGTGGTGTGTGTGTGGTACCTGTGCGGTGTGTGGTGTGTGGGGGGAGGTATGTGGAGGCATGTCTCTCTACAAACAGACCCTTTGGCGTGAGCACTGTGGGCGGGGCTAACCCACCACCTGGGATGGCCACATGCCCACATCAAGGCGCCTGTCCCCAGGACTCGGGGGCGGGGCACAGGCCAACTTTAACAGGCACCCCCGTAGGCAGCAGGCACTGGCTCCGGTGCTTGGGTCCCTGCCCCCCAGCGGGAGGTCTGCGTGGAGTTCTGGCCTCCTGGCTTCATCCTGCACCCCCCACCGGGTGCTGAGGGCGTTCAAGGAGTGAACCAGTGGATGGAAGATCTCTCAACCTTTCTCTACTGCTCCGCATCTCAAATAAAAATAAATACAACTTTAAAAATGAATAATAAAGTGGGCCCTTTGGAAGGTCGTGTGCCGCCTCCCCAGTGTCGCTGTTCCTCGCTCGCTCCGAGCCAGGACCTGAGCCTGCAGGTGGACAAGGAGAGGACGCTGTGCCTGCGCGGCAGGTGCCCAGTGGGAGACGCGCAGGTGCAGGCGGGCGGGAGGCCCAGCCCTGGTCTTCAGCGGGCGGAGACGCGAGCTCAGGAGCCGGCTTCAGGCTGCAGGAGTTCTCGCCAGCCTGGGGGGAGGGTGTGGGGTCCTCGGGGGTCCTGGGTCAGACGACCTCAGGAAGAAGGCGAAGCGTGACCGCCCCGTCTGCGCCTTCTAGGCCACGCTGCGGCTGAGCGCGCCTAACGGACAGAGCTCACGGCTGGGTAGAACCGGGCCATCCGCGGGTCCACCCCGGGGGACATTTCCCCAAGCGGGTTTAAAGACAAAGTAGGGCACCGCCAGGCCACGTCCCCTCCCGGGTCCGGCGATCCCGCGAGGCGGCGCTAGGTGGCGGGGCCGCGCGTGCGTCCCGCTCTGCGTCCGTCTCCACCTCCAGGCGTCTCGGGCTCTGCCATAACCGCCGTGTGGCGTGAGACTCGGACCAAGACGCTGCGCCCGCTCTGCGGGGAGGGCGGCCTCGGGGGAACAGGCCGGAGCTGCGGGTGTCCCCGAGCCCCCCACCCGCTCCGGGGCGCGTGCGGGACCCTGCAGCCGCGGCGAGGGGGGCGGCGCATTGTCCCCGCGCTGCGTGCGAAGCCCCGGGAAGTTGGCGTCGCCACGTCGCGAGAGAGGAGCCCGGGGCGGCTGGCTCCCGAGCCGTCGGCCTTGCCTCTCTCCCGGGCGGGCGCGGGGAGCAGGGGAGCGTGGACACTAGCCTCGGACCGAGGCGCCACGAGTGGCCGGTTTCCACCGAGTTTTCCTTGCCCGCCCCAGAGCGGACGGTTAGAAACGGTCCCCCACTTGGCAGCGCCTTGGCATCCGTGCGCCACCCGACGGCACACGCCATCGGCGCCAGAGTTCTCGGGAACTGGGATCCAAATGCAGGCTTGGGCCGGGGCAAAAGTCGTCCAGATCCAGGGGTGTTTTGCTTTCTTTCACAATCCGCATTCTCCATCCTCTCCCTACACCGCCCGGGAAGGAGCCACGCGCGAGGAGCAGGGCGGGACGCGGGGCGACACGCACGCTGGAGGCCCACCCGCCGAGGGGCTGCGGGTGCCTGGCGGAGCTCCGCGCGCCCCCGCCCCGCGTGGGATCAAGCAGGGCGCCCGGCCCCATGAGGGCGCGGGGATCCGGACGTCTCCAGCGTCAGTACCCAAGCTCTGCATCGCCTCGGCTTTGCAGGCTGGGGAAACTGAGGCGGGGACTGCCGGCGCCCGCGGTGGGAGGGCTGGCCGCCCTGCGCGCCGCCCGCCGCCCGCCCTCGCGGCCCGCCCGCCCGCCGCAGGATTGAGGAAGTGCGTCTGGGCCCGGCCCGGCCCCGGCGCGCGGCCCCAGGCGCGGGGGGCTCAGGGCGCGGGCACTGCCAGGCCCTGGCCGGCTGCTGTCCTGCGGGCCCACCCCGCGCGGCCGGACCCCGACCCCGCCGCCGCCGCCGCAGCAGGTAAGTGCCGCTCCGGCCCGCGCCCCCCGAGGGCCCGGCTGCCTCCTGCTGCCGGGCCTGGCGCCGAGCGTCCGCGTCCGCACCGCCTCTGCCTGCCCGTGGGTCGGCGCGCCCCGCAGCCCAGGCCCCGCGCTACCAGCGGCTGCGGGGTCGGGCCCGGGTGGTCTTCCCCGCAGGGGCCGCGGGCCGCAGCCCGAGGGGCGCGGAGGGCGCGGGGCGATCCTCCCCTGCCGCCCCTCTTCTTCCTGCCGAGCCCGGATCCCGCCAGCCTGCGGGAGCGCGGTCGTGCGGGAACCCCGGAACCCCGTGCTGGACAAGGCCAAGGCCAGGGCGGCCGGCGAGAAGAGGCAAAAGCGAGAAACACCGGGGCGGTTTCCTCTGCCTCTACTTGGAGCGCGCGCGGGTGTCGGGAAGGGACTCGGGGCGCCTTCCCCCTCCCCGGGGTCTGCGGCACGCGTCCTTCCCTGGGGCCTGGCTCTCTGCCTGCGACCCTGGAGCCTGCGGGCGACCTTGCCAGCGCAGACCCCAGAAAGGGGTGCGGGCAGGCTGGGGGTCCACCCTGGAAGGCGGTGGGCCGCCGGTGCCAGCGCCCACCTGCCCTCCCGGAGTTGGAGGCCGTGAAGGTTCCCCCCACCCCCAGTCACCTCCCCTGCCACGGTGGAAAAACAGGGGCCTTCGGTTCTGTTTTTAGCAAACCTCTAGCCGGAGGCACCCTATTTATATAAAACTCCCGCTCGCTCACGGGTAACAAGGTGAATTAGAGGAACCGCTAGAGTGTGCCCGATTTGGGAAAACATTGGCATTAGACACCTTTTATGATTTGATTCTCATTAGGCTCGCTTGTGGCCCAGAAGGGAAGGGAGAGAGAGTTAACTGCATTTTAACCTGTACCTAGCTTGTTCCCAAAGCACACTTTGGGGGAGGGGTAAGCCCCCCCCCAAGTGCACTCTTAGGCCCAGGTGGAAGCCCCACAGTTGCCCACATTGTCCAGGTGCTGTCTTTAGCGGGTGTCCCACACTGTGCCCTGTCTGCCCCTCCTCGTCCAGGCCCCAGCCTCTCCCAGGTGACAGCCCCCTTCCGCTCCCGCTCCCCTTGGCGGCCAGAGTGATTTTGTTTTAAAATAACAAATGCACAGGACAGTGCTGGCCCTCTGTTCAGCATGTCTCCTGCCTCGCCACTGGCATGAAATCCAGGGAGCCCCTTGCTCCGACACCCCCAGGCAATCCGGCCTCTGCTGTCCAGAGCCCCAGGCCACCATCCCCCGGCTGCCCTGGCTGGGTCACTGTCCAGCTCTGGGCCTCTGCACTGCTGGCCCTGGCTGCACGCGTGGCCTTAGATGGCCTGCCGTTGCCACCCTCTCTCTTCCACACCCCTCTCTCTGCACGCATCTTGCAAGTCCACTGGCTGTGCGTTCCTTCTATGTCTTCTTTGTCACCTCAGGGTCTTCACTGGAGCTCCTGGGATGGGACCAGGTCTGTGTTGCCCTCTGCAGGGTCCCCAGGAGACGCCCAGTGCCCAGTGGTGGTTACAGTGACTGAGTATGCATGACCACTGTGGCTAGCTATGCTATGGTGACTGATGATTGGACAAGCATAACTTATACAAGAATACTGCAAACATGTGCCACATGGAATTAAAACATATGTTTATTTTGATGCAAAAATATTGAAAACCATGCATAATTTTTTAGATATATTTATTTACTTGAAAGGCACAGTTACAGAGAGGGAGGGACAGAGAGATTCTTCATTTGCTGGTTCAATACCCCAAAGGGCTGGGCGGGCCAGAGCCAGGAGCCAGCAGCTTCCGCCGGGTCTCCCACGTGGGTGCAGGGGCCCAGGCGCTTGGGCCATCCCCCAGTGCTTACCCACGTAGATTCAGAGCTGGGTGAAGTGGAGCAGCCGGAACTCAACCTGGCATCCATATGGGATGCGGCATCTCAGGCAGCGGCTTTACCCGCTACACCACAGTGCTGGCTCATGCATAGTGTTTTTTATAAGCCACATTTTCCATGAACTTTTTGAAGACGCCCTCGTTTGTGGTTCCAGACTTGCGTAGGACTTTCATTCCCAGCCGTTGCGTGCCGAGCTGTGACAGAACGGTATGCTTCTCTGGCCTGCAGCTCCATTATATGTTGGTGTTCACAAACCCATTACACTTAGGTTTGTAGGCAAACCAGTAGCGATTGAGGGTCACGAACAGTACGGAGGGAACGGCTGGCATCTGGAACTGTGGACCAGCCACCTTGACCTGGCCCTTTGATTCACGTGGGAGCTGGACAATAAAAGCACTTAGGACCTGCCAGACTTGCAAGGGTCGTCTTTTTTTTTTTTTTAAAACAGGCAGAGTGGACAGTGAGAGAGACAGAGAGAGAGAAAGGTCTTCCTTTGCCGTTGGTTCACCCTCCAATGGCCGCCGCAGTCAGCGCACCGCGCTGATCCGAAGGCAGGAGCCAGGTACTTCTCCTGGTCTCCCATGGGGTGCAGGGCCCAAGCACTTGGGCCATCCTCCACTGCACTCCCTGGCCACAGCAGAGAGCTGGCCTGGAAGAGGGGCAACCGGGACAGAATCCAGCGCCCCGACTGGGACTAGAACCCGGTGTGCTGGCACTGCAAGGCGGAAGATTAGCCTATTGAGCTGCGGCGCCGGCTGCAAGGGTCTTCTAACACTTTGGTATTGTCGGCCCCCTCCTCCCAGAACCTTCTGGAAAAAGACCTGGGTTTCTCCCGTCGGAAACCTTAGGGCAGCTAGCTTACTGAGCTGTCTGCCCTTCCTCCCAGCTTCAAGACTCACTAGTCCATTCCTCCTGGAAAGGGCTTGGGGAAAACAAGGTAGGGTGAATGGAAGCTTCTATTTTGTTTTCCATTAAGTATTTAATTTTACTCACGAATTCAGGTAGTTAAGAGTTGGCCAAAGGAAATTGGTGAGGTTTAAAAAAAAAAATGATAAAGGCAAACATGGCTGCAGGAGACCTCCTGGTGCTCTGTGGAGGCTTCGAAAAGAAAAGAAAGTGCGTCACCTACGGCCGCCACTGCTGTGTGGTCCATCCCCAGATGCAGCTGGAGGAAGCACACATCTGCTTGCAGACAAAGACGGAGCAATCTTGAGCTACCTCGTCTTCATGCTTCTACCTTGGAGCTGAAGCCAAAGTACGAATCATTTAAAAATTGCTCCAGCAGCAGAATCCGACTTCGGTAGAGCGATTTGCAAAAGGAAACTGAAAAGGGGAACAGCGTGTCCTGGGCGAGGCTTAGCCTGAAACACTTTGCAGTCTTTTTTAAACTTGAATGCAGTGTGTGCTGGGGCACTTCTGTTTTCAGAAGGAATGTCTGCCTCTCGGGCTTTTCAAATGGCACCTGGTGCTTGTGGGCCGCCCTTCTCAGAGGGGTGTCCAGAGGCCGGCGGCCACGGCGCTGCTCAGCTTCTGCACCCTCATCCTGACTCCCTGGCTGCCGGCTCCCCCCGGCCCCATCTCCAGCTAATTTTCCGAATCGGGTTCTTTGCCAACCCGGCTTCCCCTTGGTCCTGCTCAGGCGTTACCCACACACCGTTTCTCTAGACTTTTCCCTCTTTGGTTCATGGCGAGACCAAGGCTCCGTGTGGCCTGCTCCTGCACCTTCCTCTGCCTTGAAGAGGCCGCCACTTGGCCACGTTCCTGATTGCCAGGCTCTGGGATAAGGGATTTCCAGTGCCCTTGCGGCCTTTGCTCTGTAGCTTGCCCAGGGCTCACACCGCTTCGGGCACCGTCTGGACGGCACCGGCTGTGGGGAGAGCCAGCATCTTGTTGAGTGTGTTAATCGGGCAAGTGGAAGACCCCCAGGCTAGCCGAGTCTTCTCACTGCCACTGCGGCCAGCGACCCGCCAGCCCTGCGTGGAGAGTGACTGCACACTCTTTGTCATGGTTGAATTCCCAAATGACCCTGTGTGGGTGCCAGAGCCTGGAGCCAGGAACTCAGTCCAAGTCCCCCACAGGGGTGGCAGGAGCCCCATTGCTGGAGCCGTCACTCTGCCTCGCGGAGTGCACTCGGGCAGGAAGCTGGCATTGGAACAGAACTGAGACTGGGACCTGGATGTCCCGAGGGGCGTCTTCCCTGCTCTGCAGACGCCCACTTCTCGATTTAGATTCCTCTTCCTCTGACTCAGAGCTTCTCCACCTTGGAGCCGTTTGGGACCAGATGGCTCGCGTTGCGCACAGCTGTCCTGTGCACTGTGGCATGTTTAGCACCGTCCCTGACCCCTCCTAACTCTGTACATGTAGCAACCCCACCACCACCAAATTGTGACAGCCAAAAATATGGCCAGACATTGCCAAACGTCCCCTGGGAGCAAGGGGTAAAACCTGTGGGGCGCCTTTCTGTGAACCCCCAAAGCTCCCGCTAACTTGACTTCACCAGTCGCGATTCCTTCGAGACCTTTCTCTTGGGGCCTTTCACCTGCCTCCCCTTGTGAGATTTCCTGTCCCGCTCTGAGCTTTCAGAAGAATCTGTCCTGGGCAAAGGGAGGACCCTGTGTGTCCCTGGCACTGCGATGTGTGTTGACCGAGAGGGACCCTGTACAAGTACATGTTTTGTGATTGCTTCTCAGGTAGACAAGATGGAAACCCAGTGTGAAGATGGGAGGTGGGGTGCACTCTGTTTTTTTCACTCCTCCCTCCTGGTGATGGGCTGGGAAGAGACCTGTTACAAAGAGAAGGAAACCTTGTCACAGGATTGGTAGGGTGCATGACCTTGCCACAGTCAGTATTGGCAGGGTGCAGGAAAACACTTGCTGCAGCTTTCTGATTTGATGTTGCTCTTTGCCAGCAGGATGACCCAGCTTCCTGCTCAGCCATGACCGTGTTCCCATGCCTTCACCCACCCCACGGGCAGTGGCAGCAGCAGTGACCGCGGTGGCACCTGTCTTCAGAGACCCGCTGTCTCCAGGGTCGATGGCTGGCATGTCGCAGAGCCTTCCCAGCATGTACTGGTGTGTGGGGTCGGAGGGGTCAGCCGTGTGTCCGGAGCGCACCATGGAGACCCACGGTGGTAAGTACAGGGCTGGCTGCACCTGCGTGGGCGCCGGCTTTCCCTCGCGGTAGTCTCGGCCACAGAGGAGCGAGGGCGTTTCAAGCAAAGGAGATGACACCTGAATCATCGGGGCCTTTTCATCAGACATCTTAAGGGTCTCAGTTAAATTCTCAAGATTGAGGGGCCGTGTACAAGAAGTATCGTGGCCTTGAAGACGTAAAGAACGGAGCCATCATTGCGTGTGGGCTATGGGAGCTTTATTATTTTTTAAATGGGGTTTGGTTTTGCATTATAAAAATAATGCGTATGTATTAAAGAAAACAATGTGGAAAGGGAAGTAAGAGAAACATCACCCGTAGTGCCCTACACCAGGCGCAAGCTCCGGGCACCGCTGCCCCGCGCTCTTCCCGGTCCTTCTCGGCACTGAAGGCGCTGCCTTTGAACTTCGCTTTACCTGTGAGGTCTGCGTCGCTTCGTATCCTGCTGTTTCTCTCCGAGCATCTCTTCGGCGGTGTTCGCCCAGGGGCCACTCGGTCACGGGACCAGTGACTAACGCGTACCATGTAGACTGGTGTTCACCAGACCCTTGTTTTCCTTTCGCTCCCTGCTGTTCACTCTGGCTTTGAGGTTGTTCCCCGCGTCAGATTTTCCGAAGTCGGCTCATCAGCTTTGAACCTTTTTAAGCCTCTTTACAGCGATTGCCCAACTTTGCAGGAGAGCTGCACCACTTTGAACCCCAATAGAACATCCTGGATGTTGTAACAGTGAAGTGCGCTAATCTCCTCATACCTACCAGGAACTAACTTCAGTGCTTAAAAAAAAAAAAAAAAAAACACCTCCTTTCATCCCCACAACCACTGTGAAGATGCCGCCTGTATCTTTGTTTTATGGCTGGGGAACTGGAGGTAAGAGCGGTCTGCACGCTTGCCCAGGGTCAGCAGCTCGCAGAACTGCCATCCGACCCTGCCTTGGCCGGGCCTGGGCCAACTGTCCGACTGTCGTGAGGCTGGGCCCTCCTGTGTTGGGTTGAGGGGGCCCAGTGTTTGTGCCCTCCGCGTGTTAACGACTGGGTGCTGGACCTCGCCCAGGAGCCCTCTGTTCGGGTGCTGGGGTGTTTTTTCTCCATCTGAAATGTCCAGAGGCCAGGCAGGGCGATGTTCCTGGAAGGTCTCTCTGTGCATAAATCAGATGATGAAATGGGAGAAGAATTCGCTTCGTGACATCGCCCAGCACTGAATGTTCCTGGGCGTTCTGCTTGAGTCTTTTTGAATTTTTTTTTTTTTTTTTTTTTTTTTAGCCAGATGAATGTCCTTCTACTGTTGCTTGGGAGGAAGGCCTTGCTTTATGAGCGCAAGAGCAAGCTGACACGAGCAGAGAATGCCGGGTCCGAGTTGTGGGTCGCGCCTCCCCCTCTCCTCGCCGTCATAGCTCTGTTATCCCACCTGCAGCTCCTCCCAGCCGTCCTAAGAGGCAGGGACTGGGGTCCGTCTCAGGTGTGTTCGATCGGTCACTATGTCATGTGAAAGAACCCCACAGGGGACCGTGCCGGTTGCCCTCCTTGGTCCAGAGGTGGTGACCTAAACAGGTGCTTCTCCCCGAGGCCTGCAGAATCTCAGGTGCCAGTGGCCAGGCACCATCTGGACCACGGGAGCAGCGTCGCAGGGGCGGGAGGCAGGCGTGGGCATTTTTCAAGTTCTCCCGTGGTCCCAGTGTACAGCTGGGCTGAGAACCAGCCTGAGTGGAGCCCCCCATAGCAGCACTTTGCAAATTGCGCCGTGCCCACGAGTCCTCCCGGGGTGTCTGGGTGAGTTAGTTGCCCTTCCTCAGCCTCCTGGCTCATGCTGAGGAGTGAGCCGATGCCTTCCCAGAGGTCCCGGGACACACCTGGAACCTGCCCTGCCTCGGGGCTTGGGCTAGGGCGGATAAACCAGATCATGTTCGTGTGTGCCGAGGGGTCAGAACCCTGGTGCCCCCAGCCCCCATTTTACCCCTTAGAAGTCTGCATCGGAGCCCTGCACACGTCCTCCGTGAGGTCCCCTCACCAGGAGGGAAATGAATCCCAGGACCCCCGGCCACTCTTGTTCTGAACACACCTGGGGACGTGCAAGGGCGGAGGCGTGCTGGGTCTGGTGCAGCCGCCGCTGGGCGCCGTCAGGTGCTCGGGATAGGGGCCAGGGCAGGGAGAGGACCTCCTGTGACCCCTGAGGCTGACGGAGGTGTTGCTGCAGGGTCGAATGTGAGAAGAAAGGGGCCCGGTGTTCCAGAAAATCCCTGTATCTCAGCACTGGGAGCCCAGGCCAGGCCGGAGCTGACCGCCTAGCAGCATCACCCATTCCAGGGACCAAGCCTCTCACACCCACTGCAGGGCCACATCTCGGGATATAAATAGGAACGTCCTGTCTTACCACGAGGCTAGGTCCCAGAGGCCACGGTTAAGCTGAGAACGCACTCAGTACACCTGACTGGACAGCGAAGCTCCGCCGAGGCCCCTTCACTCCGCTCAGAACACTTGCGGGAGCCCACAGTGGGGCAGACCCACCTGACACAAAGTCTGTTGCATGATTAGGTCTTGAGTGTCTCCTGGCATTTACTGAGCCCCGAACTGGAAGTGAAAAACAGACTGGTTGTGCGGGTGCGCTTGCTTACCTGGGGAGGTAGGAATGTCGTGTAGTTGAAGTGTTGTAAGTCGGATCCGTGTGTCTAAAGCCGGACCGCAGTGGGGACATGCCAGGCCCGGGGGAGGGGGAGTGTAGTGTCCTCACTTCCGTGTGCTTTGTGTGTCTGTGGGGTGCGTGCTGTCTCGTTGAACGCACGTGACTTGTTCGGGTTCTGCATGATCACTGTGATCAGAAGGAGAAGCACTCCGAGCTGGTTTTCCAGTTGCTATTTCTGTAACGTCTGACGCTTGGAATTAGTCTTCCAGTCCACCTCGAGCGTTCACATCCACTGCCAAAGTTGCTTTGCTTTTCTTTTTTTTTTTTTAAGATTTATTTATTTGAAAGTCAGAGTTACACAGAGAGAGAAGGAGAGGCAGAGAGAGAGAGAGAGAGAGAGAGAGCTCTTCTATCCACTGGTTCACTCCCCAGTTGGCTGCACAGCTAGGACTTGAACCGGCGCCCATATGGGATGCTGGCCCTGCAGGCTTCACTCGCTACGCCATGGTGCTAGCCCCAAAGTTGCTCTTCTGTCCTCTTTCCCCCTCAAGTCTTCCTGCGACACCTGGGGAATGTGTGACCCAGTACTCAGTCCCTGAGCCCCTGCAGAGCCCACCCTCCAGCTTTGTGCCGCCCCCTCTTCTCCCCAGACTTCTGCGATTGGAGGAAGCCTGCCCTCCCCTACATCCCGGGGCCGGCTTCCAGGAAGCCTCTCCCAGAGCTAACTGGCAGCTCAGGCCGCAAAGTCGGCTGCCAGGAGGAGAACCAAGAGTACTCCCGTTCCGGGGCAGCCTTTGCTCCCTTCCAAAGTTCCTGGAAGATAACGTGTTCGGAAATGATGACGTTTTTATTGTACTTCCAAGAATAGCTTAGACAAAGAGCCACACCCCTCTCATAAACCTGAGTTACTTCTGGGTTTCCAGGGGTGGCATTTTGTGTTTTTATTTGGGGAGACACACCTGTGCCTGTTCAGACCCCCTCCGGTGGGTCTGAACGGGTCATGCCCCCAAACCCCTGGGTGTAGGAGCTCCACGCACGGCGGCGGCTGGGTGGTAGGAGCTCGGAGCACGGCGGCAGGAAGGTGTGTCCCACCCTTGTCCCTGGAGCGCTGTCAGCAGTCTGCTCGCCTGTGGTACCGGAAGGCCTGGTTGTGCAAGTCCACAGCCCAGTGACCCTGGGAGAACCACGTAGACAAACACGCCACTGGACACTCTTCCCTGGGCGCCTGCCCCCAGCCAGAGTGGAAAAACCCGTCCTGCTGGGCGCCGTGAGGCCCCTGGAAAGCGGAGCAGTAAGGAAGCTTCCAGGTAATGCACGTTGGGAACACATGTGAGGCTTCTGCATTGCAGAGGTGAGCGTGCCTGCGCAGACATCGCTCACACCCCTGCGTCTGCGGGGTCCAACTCTGGCCCCGGAAGCTGCGACACAGCCGCCCGCCTCTCAGCCCAGGGCCCACGGCTGGACCCATCATGGCCCAAAGGAGGAGTCTTCTGGAAGCTCTTCAGATACCAGGTTGTTATCTGACTTCTCCTAGTGTCCTTTTTCCCCACTTGATCGCCTTTTTTTTTTTTTTTTAAATCTGTTTTATTAAAAGCATAGCTTCTCGATATGAGGGCCCAATTTGCTCAACCAAGGGGCTTTTCCTGGCTTCCAGAAACAGAAGTAGGAGATGGACTGAATTAGGAAGTGCTTGGGGACGTTGCGTGTCTTCTGGCCAGGTCCCATGTTGGGGAGCCAGCCCACATCCTTAACCTGTTCCTCGTGACCGGGTCTGGCTGGTCCCTGCTGAGTTGTGTTCACACAGTGGGAGCCAGGAGAGGAGGGGTGGGCGGGGCTGGACAGGACAGGAGACCCCGGCCTGGACAGGCGAGTGCTGCGCTGGCCTGGCTGCAGCAGCTCCTATGGCCGCCCTGGGGAGCGTGGCCAGCATCCAGTAGGGCATCCTTTACTGAACGAAGGGCAGAAAGGAAGGCTTCCCTTTGTGGGCGGGGCCGGGGTGGTGGGCGGGGCGGCTGTGGGTGGAGTTAAGGTGTCTGTGCCTTGTGCCCAGGAAGAGCCCAGGCTCTGGGCTTGCTGCGGCATCTGGACCTTAAGTGGAGGCTTAGATCTGCTCCTAGTGGTTTGTCCAGAATGTGCTTGCCCGCTTCCAGGAGCAGGGAGCTGGCTACCGTCGGACCATGCTAGCCTCTCCAGGGCTGACTGTTGGGGTGTTCACGTGCATCTCCTCGGTCCACGGATTGAGGCTGCAGGAACCCCCAACCCCTCTCTTGGGTTGCTGGAAGTCCTCTTTCCTGGGGACTCCCGCTCACTCTAACCACCCAGTAGCTTTAAGGGCAAGCAGGCGGCAAGTTCACACGTCCCATG